TTGTGAACATTAAACTCTTATTACTTATTAATTGCCATGTCTCCTGCGTACCAACCAAAGTGTCAGGACTATAGCGGAATCTTTAAATTCAGAAGATGCTACATACGTTTAGAAGTCACATTTCCTAGTCTTCACTTCTAGGAAGATTTTTATGTTTTGATTTCATTGTGTACTGTAAGAAACTGTTTTTGGCATATCTGGATAATATACACCAATGCAGGTGGTAGGAAATGATTCCAGGCAGCTCATTATTCATAGCATATTTAAATTGTGTAGTTGGCATAAGATTAGCATATTGCTATATAGCATTTGGTTTAAGAGATTAGCAAAAATCTGGATAAAGAAAGACCTTCTATAACAATCGAATAGCCTTGTTGTATGCCCAGGAATAAAAATTGATTACAAAGACAGAATATATAATTTGAAAAAGAACGTTCTCACTGTACTAATCCAATAAATCAATACAGTTACATTCCACTGTAGTACATACTCATTTCTCTCAGAGCAGGATTAGTCATTTTACATGTCTATCGGACTAGAATACCACTAATTAAAGGGTATGTTATACATATTTAAAAGCAAAGAGCAGGTGTTCAATATATGATGGAGGAATTAAATTGAATAATGTAGGAGAAGAGACAATTTGGCAGAAGTTGAAAAAAGTAGACGAAAGCCAATTTGTGGTACTCACCATTGGTGTTTTAAGTGCGAAAGAACATTGGAAGAAATCGTAGGTTGTTTCTCTGAATACCAAGCCCCTCACTTACTGGTAAGTCTCCTCTCTGGAAACTTTAGGGATACTAAATTCAGATGCACTGGGCATGTATTTTCTGTCAAGCATCTCTGTGGGGAAGTGGCCTCTCACTCATTCTTGGTCTTTGTGGTTAATGTGGTGTTGATCCCACCTCCTAGGTTGAGGTATGAGAACATCCTGTGCAAGGCCTGTGCAATTGCAGCACCTCCGTGGTGGGTTCAGGAGCACACGGCTCAAGCAGAATTGATAAGAATCCCACTCAGAGGATGTTGTGAGAACTATTGGAAAATAACATCCTTTTCTTTCCTGGAGTTTTTAACTGCCCAAAAATTTAAGCCTAGAGCGACCAGTGATCATCAGTGCCATCTCACTGGAAAAGTTTAGCTCAGAAATAAGCCAACACAGGAAGAAAGCAGAGAAGAGTGATGGAAAAAGATGCCCTGATGACTTCTTTAGATCACCCACTGAATTCAGCAACCCCTGTAGCCAGCTGTGCTCCCTGAACTTTAGATTTATGACATTTTCAAATATAAGAAACCTGAACAATGTTATAAATATGAAATGAGGCTGTGCTTTCCAAATAACAGACCCTGTAATGTTCCAAACATAGATTGAATGGCAATAAGAGTTTCCCTCCGAAGGCTGCAATGTTGGCATCTTTTATATACATAAGCAGAGTAGCTGGTTAAACTCCTGTCTATTTTAGATAGAAATTCAGACCGTGTGCCTTTCAAGGCTGCTATTGTAGGTCGCTAAAATTGTGAGTGTGACTGGATGGAACAGACATCACCCATAGGTGTTGGTCTTAGAGCTACAGGCCATAATTCCATAAAACCTTGGGTTATTTCCCTTTGTGGGGGGAGTGATTGTACTTTTAGCTGAAGTTGGAATAGTAGAGTTATGTTGAAACTGGAACTTTGAAAGTGTTTAGGAAGAGAAGTGTGCACATCATAGTCAATCACAGTTTGGGCTGTAGCAGATGCATTGACCACTCAGTGCATAACTGTGAAGCTACCATTCTGCCATTCTCAACCCATGCGGCTCAAAGTCACCTGACTCATCCTGTGAGTTCCGAGCAAAGCATGTGGCACAGATACTACTATCAGGGAAACATGGAGATTACTTCAAGGATGGGTATATCAACCAAACCAGACCGATCAGTGCCCATCTCAAAGCGTTTGCGGTAACTATGAGGGAATAAGAACACTATCTTTTTTCAAGTATTGTCAGCTAAGCTTCTACTGACTACTTTTGCCAACATGTGGAGAAAGCGTATTTGAAAATGAAACCCAAATAAGAAATTAGAGATGATGAATGGAGAGAAAATGATGGGTGAAAGAGAGAGGGAGGAAGGAAAGAAGGAGGAAAGGAAAAAAGGAAAGAGAAGAAATCTGACAGTATTCTTGGATCCAGCCTTTATTGAAGCTAGATATACTTCTGATATTCTCAATAATATGAGACAATAAAGTCTCATTTTGGCTTAATCAAATTTAAGTTGTAATTCTGTTATTTGCAACCAAAAGAGTATTTAAGTTATAGAGATCACATTTTAAGAGATAAATTATTAAGTAGATAAAAGAAATGTCAAAAGGTTCAACTTCTGAAGCTCAAGTGTCTTACCCATATGAAAACCCCTTAGGTCTTAATCCACAGCTGATATAATACTATAACTTCCTACGCAATTCCAAAAAATTTGACTTTTTGAGTTTTCAGCTTTAAGTAGATAAAACCCGGCTAATTTGTCATAGGGCAATTGCTATAGGTAAGCATGTTGATGACAGTATGTTATAACTGACCACATGATAATTAAAAAGAAGAGGCAAATCTATGAAAAGTTTGCCCAAATACTAAAAATAATCCAAAGCTATATGAGGACAATTAAAACATGGATAAAGTCCTGGAAATAGTGTCTATTATAATGATTATAGTAATTATTATTATGACTGCTGTAGGTACTTGGTTAATTTTATTGTTGCTTCATTTAGTTTTTATAGCCATTCTGTGAGGTAGGTATAATTATGCTCCCTATTCTCCAAATCAGAAGCTGACTCTCATAGAGGTGGCCTTAACCACCATATATTGCTGCTGAATTAATTAGAGTAAGATAGGTGAAGCTGCAGTAACAAATACATCTCAATGTTTCTGTGGCTTAACCTTGTAAGTTTGTTTCTGGCTTAACAGTTTTGAGCTGGTAGTGAGGTCTACAGAGTACCTCTCCTCCACCTAGTTATTTAGTCACAGGCTGAGGCAGTCTCTACCATCTTCAATGCAGGACTCTGAACATCCCAGGAAAATGGAGAGATCATGGAGGAGCCCATGAGCAAAGAATTTATGGGCCAGATCTTGAAGTGGCACATATCATTTCCACTAGTATTTCATTCGATGGAATTTACTCACTGCAAGGGAAGCTGGTACATGTTGTCTAGCTGTGGGCTCAAAAAAAAAAATGAATCATTTTCAGTGGATTGCTTGTGGTATCTGCCACAGTTGCCTTCCTTGTTTACTTTTAAAATTGTAGTTAATATAGTGTTAATAAAATTATAGAGAAAGATAGATTGGAGAGAGAAAGAAGAAAACAATCATAAAAATAAAAATTCCCTTTTAAGGGGCTGGCCTGATGGCGCAGTGGTTAAGTTCTCTCACTCTGCTTCAGCAGTCCTGGGTTTGCGGGTTCGGATCCCGGACGTGGACCTACACACTGCTCATCAAGCTGTGCTGTGATGGCAACCCATATACAAAATCCCTTTTAAGAAGCTCACTAGAAACTAGAACAAGATTCTGGATGGAGAATTGTCAAAAGTAAAGCTACAGTAAAACTGAAAATTCCCCAAAGAAAAATTAAGTTGCTTCTGTTTTTACCTTACCTAGGGGATCAATAAAGTTTTAGAAAGGACATGAGATTTGGGATCAAAGAGAACTGGGCTTAAATTCTTGCTCAAATATTAACTAGCCATTTGATATTGGCTAGTTGCCTACCCTCTCTGATGGATTCCATTCTTTGATGGAAAATAGGGATAATACACAACAAATAGAATTCTTGTAAAGACTGGAGTTCATATAAATAAAAGGTCACTATGTGTTATTTGCTGCTCTTAATATCATTGTGACCAGAAAAAAATGGAGTAATTAGCTCATGTTAATAGTATTTCACTATTACTATTTAAAATGTTCAGTTATGAATTTTATGTCCCTTGAGTGCAAGATTGACCCTGAGCTTGGGTTTGGAGGAGGGAGGAATGGTGGTAAACACGTAGTTTCAGAGGGAAAAGCAGAAGACTGTAGGGGCAGAGACCTAAGTGGTTCGGCGATGGGTTTTATCCTTTAAAGCTACATAAAATTTACATGACAGTCCTTTAAATTTCTGTGGTGGCCCAGACTATTTGTTGTGATTTTGCATTCACTGGGCTAAGTGGCTTCTAATCATGGTTTCTTCACTCTCTCTGAAGCCAATCTCATGTAGGGTTTATAGGAACATTTATTTATTTGCCCATCAGGATTTCAGCAAGAGTAAATACTCTGAGAAAATAAGCTAATTAAAAGAAAACAAACCATCACCATCTCCCTGACAACAATAAAAAATAAACTTAACTATGGAATTCAGCTTCCCTTGATGATTTAGTTTACTTTTTCTAATTCTTGCTGGTCACCTTGGCTTTGGTATCTGAACTACTAAATTGTGAAATATTGAAGTAAGATACTTTGAGGTATAAATCTTCATAGTCACTTCATTTCCAGCTAGAGCGTACTGCCTAATACCAAGCAGACATTGGATGGATGGGTGGGTATGTTATTCAATGTTTAATGAACTCAGCCTGTATCTCAGAACATTTGAGGCTAGAAAATGCAAACACAGTATGTGGTTAATTGGTTGCTTTTAAAAATAATGTAATTGTTATTTTCATTTTTATCTTTCAGCCACATTAAACTCCTTTGCCTACAAAGTGTTCTCTCTTACTTTCTAGTTGTTTATCGTTCATTCATCCACTTAGCTTAGAATACTTCTCTTCTCCCCACACTCTTTTCTCTTCAACGACTCTTATTTGTCTTTCAAGTCTCAGAGTATAGGTTTCTCTTTCTGGAAAATCCTCTCTTACCCCCGATTCAGGAGAAGCATTTCTCTTTTTTGATTTGATAGAGCTGGGTAGTTCCTTTACTAAACTTAAGGCTACCCACACTGTATTTGCATATGTGTCTCTTCTAGTATCAAATTCAGTAAAGAAATCAACAACCAAAAATAAAAAAAGGAAATCCATTCTTTACTCAGTCTTTCTCAAAGAATGTCAACTCCAAATGTAACGAAAGTAATCATCCTTAAAATTGTTTTCCATAGGGGATGCCCACAAAATTTCTCTTCAAGCCCGATTTTTCCTTCCTCACCCAAAATACTTCCCCAAGTCCAGGCCGAAGTACTCTTATCCTTTCATGTCTCCTGTCACCTTCCTGGACCTATGGTTTCCTTTTCTTCTTTCTTCAATAAATCTTCCAGTGCAGGGCTCCACTCAGAGTGGCGTGCAGATTTGTGCTGATCCCAGAAACATGCTGCCAACAGCAAGGAGAAAAGTGCAGAAATTGAGAGGAAACATTTAGAACCTTTTATAGCATATCAATAGAGTTTTTTGTTTGATGACTCTAGTAACAAAAAATGGGCTTGATTTTTAATTTCATTTTATATGGTTTTATTTTTATTTAAAAAAATATTGGTCTGTGATGAATTAGGCAGAAAAAGCTGGCTCTTTGAGAAACTTTGTTCTGGTTTCTTCTTGGCATTGATATTCAATAGATTTAACTACCTGTAGAGTACATACACCATCTAATCAGAATGGAGGCCAGCCAAAATCGGTAATTTTGGCCTTCCTGAAGTACTTGTCTGAATATCAGCCCTGCCTCTCCTTCTAGAGGTCTCCCTTTCCTGATTTCTTCAACCCTATAAAACAGCTCAGAAACAAAGCAAGCAAACCTCAATAGGGTGGGGATGCCAGAAGCCAAAGTTATAGTCCTCTTTCACAGCCTGTCAAGTCTAGAGAGGGTGACAGGCAGAAGAAATAGAGTGAGAGGCTGGGTTTTGCCAAATATTTATAATTTATCATCTTTTCTTCTATATTCATTACAAAATATACATTTATTCTAGAAGAAAAGGATTGATGACGTGATATACATTTATATATGTTAGTCTCTTTCATTACAGACTTGAAATTTCTGTTTTATAAGAGACAATAGCAGATACCTACCCAAAGCGAAAGGTGTTAGGAGAAATAATACAGGAAGGTAGATGAGAACCTGTGTTTAATAAGGACTTCATCAGACTTTTTATTTTGTGCTTCTTTATTTAGAAAGATTTTGAATAAGGCCACAGAACTCAAAGTGGTTAACCAGAAGGAAACTTCTATTTAAGTTAGTTTACTTTTCATTTATCTATTATTATCCCAGGTCATTTGATTGTATCTGGCTTTATAATAAAAATTCCACAAGCACTCCTGCTATTGCTGTACTTTTAATCCAACTATGCTATATAGTCTACTTTAAAGCAATTCCTTTAATGCTTTATTGAGCTGTTAAATTCTTAGATGGCAGTTTTTCTAAAAATAATGTTTATAACATAAACTTTCTTGAGCGATATATATTTATAAGGCTGTTTGCATCCCATTTTGTAAATGGCTTCAGGTTGGCTTTCTGCCCCCTACTTTGTTTTTTAAAGGCGTTTCCTTGTGACCTACATACTTAGCTTCCTTAAGGCTTTTATTATACAGGAAATACTTTGCATTGTTTAGGAAGGCGTCTGAAAATATCATGGTTAGCGACCTTCCTTGTAGCATCAGTAACTTCTCTCGTCCTTTCGCTCACATCATCCTTGGATTTCAAATGTTGGGTCATACTCATTGCCTGTGATAAATTGATCATTTTATGAGATAAGTGGGCTGTATAAACTATTCTCCATTCATATACACTGCCTACGTCTCTCTCTTTTTTGGAAAATCCATTCATATCTACCCCTTCAATTATCTTCACTATTCATTCAGATAGCTCTCAAATCACTTTCTTCAGCCCCAAGCATTCTTCTGTTGACAATCTGAATTTTCAAAAGCCTAGTGAATATCTGGCCTATATCTGGGATCCTTAAACACAATACATTTGAAATGAAATGGAATTTCTCTACCCACTCTCATTCTCATCCTTGATGCAATAATCTACTCTTTTTTTATGGTCATTATTTTTGTTAGTGGTGACATCAATCTCCCAGTTGCTCAGGATACAATAACTTATCCTTCTCCCTTTCTCTTTTATCCGATTAGTCACCAGATCTTGATTCTACCTCAAAAATATCTTTTGTCTCTTTTCCCATCTCTTTCCTTTACCCTTCTATTCCTTTTGGCCTGCACTGTCATTCAATTTTACTCTCCATTCTACCACTAGGATTTTCTCCCTAAATCACAGGTGGTACGTAGGGACCTTTCCTCATCTCAGAAGTCTTCTAGTTTTCTACTACTTGCAGAATAAATTCAAAGTCTTTAGCATGGAGTTAAAGGTTTTTCAAGATACGTGGCTTAATATGAATCAAAACCTCAATGAATTCAGTATATTCCACATATTCAGGACTTGCCATTTCATATGTCTCTATCTTTTAGAATTTTTTCTTTCCAATCCTTTTCTTTACTTGTCATTGTTCTCTTAAACTTTCAAGGCTTACCTGAAATGCCTCCTTATTTCTTGTATACAAGAGGCTCATTCCTGTGAAATCCTAGAGAAATTAGTTTGGATCTCTACTTTACTTTGGTTTTATTATGAATATAGTGCAGTTTATCACAGATTCATTTAACTTAATCATCTATGTGTGTGCTCAGAATTTCAATAGTACTGTTGAATCCACCTCTACCTGCCATTTTCTCAAAGAAAGCATGAATTGAGTGTTGTGGATTTTAAGTTCCCCGGATAGGTCTCACTTCCCACAGGCATTTGATAGGAGTATCTTGCTGATATGGTCCTAGTTTTGGAGGATGTAGCATTTTTTTGCGTACTTCAGCAATGTCTCAAAATGCTAGGCCAATGATAAAGGAGTACTTCTTAATAGGTCATTCTTTCTCTGACTGTGCTGGACTAATTTAGAGATGTATGTTCATTTCCAGTATGGCGTTTTCCTAGTGAGACTTTTGATTTTTGAATTAGAAGCAAATCTGCAAACTGTTACGTTTTAAACGTTTAGTTTTAGGATTTTGAACTTCCTAAGGGGTCATATATATCATTTCCCTTTTAGCATATATCACAGTGTTCTACTCATAGTGTTTGATGCATGCTCTTTAAACTGAATTTATTTGGACATTGTCTAAGCAGCATGGGCCTCATAGAGACATCAAGTATTTTCGGGCAATATTAACATTCTTTTATTTTGCTGTTTTTGTTGTAGGGTGGGCATTCTATGTCTCCTCTCCTTTAATACTTCCTGGTCACCCTACAGGAAGCCCTTATCATTGCTTTTGGAATTACTTGAATGAGTAAGAATCTTAACTTCTTCCTCTAGTAAATAAAAGTGCTGGGCCAAGGGCCAGCCCACAGGCGTAGTTGTTAAGTTTGCTTGCTCCACTTTGGCTGCCTGGGGTTTGCTGGTTCGGATCCTGGACATGGACCTACACATGGCACATCAAGTCATCCTGTGGTGGCATCGCACATGGAAGAACTAGAAGGACATATGACTAGGATATACAACTATGTACTGGGGCTTTGGGGAGAAAAAAGAAGAAGATTGGCAACAGATGTTAGCTCAGGGCCAATCTTCCATACAATATAAATAAATAAATAAATAAGGAGAAATGCTGGGCTGATCTGATTGAATTTGCTTGAAATTCAAGGAGAATAAAGTTCACCTCAGGTCTCCAAAGAGTCAGAAAACAGTGCCAAGCGGCTCACAAATGTGAACTTGTCTCATGTGGATTCAAACTTATGTGTCTTTCAGGCATACTTTAGTCTTTTTAGTCTTATAGAAGAAAAGAATGGTTTAATGTACTTACATGAATATATGTATATATATATGTTACATTATCACATCTCAGTTATAGTAAATTCTCCTTGTCTATGATATTGTGACATTTTAATGACTTTGCAGGAAAGGGTGACACAGAGTCTTCTGCAGGTTGTAACATTTTAATTTTACACTTTGGAGGTTTCATCTTTTGATGGAATCCCTTTTATAACCTGACTAATGTAAGGTTATGTGGTCTCTCATTACCAGTCTTTGATCCTCTCTCAGCAGAGCAAGGCTAACGTCATCATCATCATTAAGCTCTGGAAGAATTTCCTGCTGGGCTTTTAGATAATCACAATATTTTTCATTTTATGAAGAGCATGAAAGAAGTTTCTATTTCTTATTATTTCTTATATTGAGTGTTTGGGGTGGAGGCACACAGGAGCAGTAAGATAAGTATCCTGAGACAGCAATCCTAACTATGCTTCTGAATTGATTGTTCTTCCGGTTGTGTGTCCCATGTGTGTTCTGGATGAGCCTCTGCCTGGAAATGACGCTTTGAATCTGGGAACCAGGTTAGATGTTTATCCAAATTGTCATGTTTCAACTAGATTTTTGAACTTCATCATGAATAACCAAATACAGTAACTGCCAAAAACCTAGGCTGAAACTGGAAGCTTATAGATTTCAGCATTTGGCCTGCTGTCCTGCCTAATATCTTCTACCACCATTCACGTTCCAGTTAAGCTATTGAGACTATATTACAGTTTTATTATATTAAGGCTATCTTTGGGTTGTTTTTGGTAGAGCTTTTTTCATAATTGGAGTATGATAAATATTATGTGAAATTATTTCAGGTATGCAAGTTATATCTGCTGTGCTTATATCAATGTCAAAGGAATATTATTAGTATCTGGACTGCTCTGGAATGACAGTGGAATCTGAATAATTAATTATCTGCTGAAGGTCAGCTTGACCACTTCCACAAACATTTAGGAAGGTACATTATGTTTCAGTCATAAAGTACTTAACTGTAGCTTTGATTGTTTATTTCTCACCACTATTACATGAGATCAGTAAGAATTATCTTTGTTACTCTGATTCTATTATTAGAGGAATTGAAACATATGGAATCTGCGGTTAAACCAGTTACCCAAAGTTACAACCAAGGTCACAGATAAAGTAGAAATTCTGAGATTGCTTTCTAAACCCTTGTGTGTTGTTTCATTGCTCAATCAAAGGAGGTAGATTACTTCTTAGATGTGGCATGTTTGCAATTCTTCAACTTGCAGCAAAATAATATCTTATATTTATATAGTAACTTCAAATTTAATCTCATCCAGGCATTCAGCAAATATTTCTTTAGTGCCTCCCATGTGAACTGCATTATGAAGGATTGTGGACATGACAATGTCACATTTTCTGTCCTCAAGGAGCTTCGTATACACAAATCATCTTAACATAAGACATAGAGGAGAGAAAGACACATAATAACTCTTGAAAGGAAGAATTGGACCAAAGATCAAAGGGCAGAAGTTGATTTCCCTTTCAAGAATCTCTTAAATCTTTTCTCGCCATCTGAAGTTCAGATGTAGGCTTATGGCTGGGGTCTGTAGCCACCTGAATGGCAATGATTTGGCATACTTTCAAATTGATAATTTTTAAATATTTGCTTAGCATTTGTTCAATTGAGTGGATAAGAAAAATTAATTTCCCATTTACTAAAAGTATCAATCTTTTTTAGTTTCAAAAAAAGCAATTTATAATGTGCCAAGTTGAATGAATCTTGGTTCACAGTCCCAGAAATGAGTTTTAATGTTCTAAATTTTCAAATCTTCTCTTTAATTTCTGCTTTTGAACCCTTGGTTACTACAGACCGATGAAAAAAAAACGATGAATGAATCTTTTATAAAATTTGGGCTTTCGACTTCCCTGAAGAAATATCCCCTACATTCAGAATTCATAAATTCAGAATTCTCAAATCTCAATGTTTCTCTCTCTCTAATTTCTGCCATTAACATTTTTCTGTATCAAGAAATCTTATTCCCTGGAAGAAGAAAAACCATAGGGTGAAAGCAAATGCCATGAATAAAATCTCAAAATATTATTCTAGATATATGTATACCCAACTAAAATGACTTTTCCTAATTTCAGTCTTTATTATTTTCACTTGTCAGATATACAGAAAATGAAATAGCTATTGGCTTCATTTTTAATTTTTTTTTCTGTTCCTTTCTATAGGTTTTGGTTTGTTTTCCATATTCTTTGGTAATTTCCCTAAATATCACAATTTCTTTAGAAAGCATATCAAAGGGCTCAATTTAGATAATAAAATGAATCTTTCAATTTGTTCTATACACCCACTGGTTTTATAATTACAGCATCCCACCATTTGAACATCTGAACTAGAAAGAAAAAGACTGGATGGAGATAAGGGTCACTGAAAATTGTTCCACTGTAATTCAGAAGGAGAATGATCAACGTGCATTTTACCATTTTGTTAACTATATTATAAATCTTTTCTACTTAACTGGTATCATATTTTCAATTCTGTCCAGTGATTATTTTCTTTTAGCACCTTTTTATGTTGGTACCTCAGGCATTTGCTTGACTGGTCCATCCTGTAATCTGACAGTTTGCTGCACCCTCGTATCTTGCTTGGACCACTGTAATAGCCATCTAATTAGTCTCCTGCCTCTGTTCTTGTCTTATTCCGGTCATTCAGCCACAGGGTAGCTAGAGGTATGTGTCTGAAATATAAATCCAAGCATGTTATCCCTTGCTTAAAACCCTTCAATGACTTGAAGTCATTGAAGAAATCATAGAAGAATCTATGACAGTGAGCTGTATAAGCTACCTGCTTAAATTGCCCTGGAATGTCTTTAACAGTGCAGTGTACTGGGTTCTGCTTCACAAATACTGATTGAGAATTTCTGGTGGGACTGGGAAATCTCTGGTAGGGTTTGGCAATTTTCATTTGCATTTGAACAAGAATGCGGGGAAATTCCCATGCCCAGCAAAGTTTAAGGATAACGAGTTTAAAGACAGTAAAAAAACAAAAGTCATTAAATATGATTGCCTTGCATATCCTTCTACTATTATTATGGACTCTCTGCTCAAGCCATTCTTGGTTACTTATATTTTCCTATTTCTTTTATGCCTTCATGATTTTGCACAGGCTATTCTTTCTTTCTTGAATGCCCATTCTTATCTTTTTAACTGGCTAAATCCTACTTGTTCTGTAACAGGCAATTGGATCAATTCTTTATCTATGAAGCCTTCCCTGCTCTCTCACCTCCCACAGATAACCATTCTCACCCTTCTAGGTGCTTCTATCACACTCAATAAATACTACCATCACGGTGAGAAAGAGTTCAAGTCAAAGTTACTGGGCAGCTGTGAGTATTGTGGCCAAAGATAGGGTGTGAACCAATGCATCTGACTCTAACTGTGAGGGTGGTAATTATATTTTATGTGTTTTTGATATTAGCATTCACTACAAGGTTGTCGTATAAAGGCATTTAGTAATTTTTTGGTATAATATATTAAAAAAATAAATACGTAATGGGAAATGTGATAGGACTTTTTCTGTTTCTTAAAATTTACCAATTCAAGTCAGGCCAAAGCTAAAGAAAAAATCACTAAATGCATCCCATTCTGAAGATAGCTACCAAAAATTGATGCTGCATTTCTTCTCCCAGACCTTACTAAGTGCTATATATAGGACTTGATCCTCCTCTTACCACTTACCGCCTCAAGCTTACTTCCTGTCCAATGTATCTAAGACGTTTAGGGAGGCAAGAGACAAAGGAAATGTTATCACAGTCATTGGCCTCATGGGAAGTGAATTGTGGATGGTGAGAAGCTTTTCCACCATAAGGATGAAAGGTGGGCACGCTGCCACCATTTCAAATGATGGAGACACTTTAAGAGAATCACTCACATATTGTACTACAATAAAAGAGACTGGTGATTTTCCCTCATTTGAATATATACCTAGGCCGTGGATTTCTCGCTGCCCCTCTGCCTTTCTGAGCAAGGGAAAAGAATTGGATAGAGGGCACAGGGCAGGGTGGGGTGGGTGTGAAGCAGTCTGCGTGCTCACTGGTATGGCGAAGATGCATGAATTTCCTCTGTGTCAAGTGCAAAGTGGGGAAGGTAACTGGTTTTTAGCATCCTTGTGGGAACCAACTCAGGAAGACTGATGGTCAAAGAAGGTGCCTTTACATGAGGTGGACAACTGGGAGTGGAAGCTGAGAAGATCAGGGTGCAAGAGGATGAGCTTGAACTCCCATATCCAGGAACTGTGGAGTCGGGGGGATGCTGTGAGACAGAAGCGCCTCATGAGAAAGGCACACCTGGCAGGCAGAGGCCATCAGTTAACGTTGTCCAGAAAAACAGCAACAGCTACTACAGACAGACTTTAAGCTATACCCAGGTTAGTACACTGATGTTCACCATTTTCCCTTCATTTCTCTTTATCCTTTTTATTAGATGACTTCCTAGAAGAGGGAAGAAAGGAAAGGACTGAAAAAGAAGATGTGTCCTTTCCAATTAATGTTCCTAAAGCCGCAATTATAGTCAACAATGTGGAAGACCAAAGCTTTAAATAGACTAATAGGTGAAATTTTAAGCTGGGTTGGATTGACTATGTAGTCAACAACCCCATGAAAGCTGTAGAAGCTTCCTAAGATGGTCATTAAAGAATCTGCTTCCCACTGGGGAGCAGAAATTCAACAGAACTTTTTGGGATGCAGTGAGTAAAGAAAAATAAACCATTTTGTGTTTTTATACCATTAAGTTGAGCTGTCTTTTAAAAAATCCAGTTTAGTTGAGTGAAAATAATGAGCACTATAAGGCAACAGGAGTTCACCAAGGGTTAGTTACATCCCAATAATATCATTTCACTTTCTGAAAGTGTTTCTAGAGGTTTGGAAAAACCCAAGTCCAATCAAGACGAACAAGAAAGCCTCAGGGTAGGAATGAAGATAGAGAAACTTGTAGTTTGTACAAGTGTCTAAGGGAATTAAAGTGTTAGCTGGAGTGGAGTGAAGTTTATATTGAATTTAGAAAAAGGAAAATAAAAGCAAAATTTTTTGTCAGTTTTACTTGATGTTCGGCATTCAGGAGAGGCATTGCATTGATCTGGAGAGGTTAAGAGTTTCGCATGGAATCCGAAGTTTCTGGGTTTGACTTTGATGCCAAACTGGCCTGAATATGCATCTTGGCTCCACCCCCCTAAAGCAATGAGACTTTCTCTGGACTTCAAATTTGTTCTTAGTAAATGAAAATAGCACCATCACCCACCTTGGATAGTTGCGCAAATAAGTGAAATTATACACACGCATAATATGATAGCAGACACGGAGTGAACCCTAATTATGGTGAATTTCTTTCCCTCCAAGAGAATTGTATTCCACTGCTGGAGAAAGTAATAGTTCCTCACATTTTTCTAATAAATGAAACCTCTCTCAAAAATGTCCAACTTTCACACCAGTTCAACCTCCGTCAAGCTATGTTTAAATGATAAATTCTCTCTTCCAGATGCTTTGATTCTGACAGTGGGTGATTTGAATGGAGACATCAGTGTAGTTAGGTTTATGAAAGCCAGAGTTCCATCATATGTCAATGAATCATAATTCTCTTGTGTGTTTGGTTATTTGCACCCTGACTTGATTCCCCTAAACCTCATCAGTTCTTGGTGACATGATAACATTTGATTTCTGGCTTAGCAAAGCTGAAGACCAGCCCTTGGAAAGTGGTGCCCACATTAAGGTGTGACTTCCTACTCTCTAAGGACCAACTGATCTTCATGCATCACGTTGCTGCCACTTCTCTTTTGGATTGCTTTGTGGAAGCACATTATGACCTTAAGAATAGACAGTTTTGGAAACAAGGCAACTCTAGAATGTGTCATGAAACTGCAGCTACAATATAGGCATGCACAGAGTGGCAAGCTCATCAGGCAGGATAGTTAGCAGATTAAACAGCAGGTACACTCTTCTCCTCAGGGCAGAAAATGACATGAAACTGCAAGCAGGCATTAAGGAAAAGTGTTCGTAGTGGCGAAATATTGTTAGCCACCTGCCAGTTCAGCACCACAGCAGGTGCACATGTTAAATGTCCACAAAATCAAAATGACTTTTTATAATGCTTTGCCTGGTTATAATGTCATTTTTAGCCCTTTCAAAACAAGACAATGCTGGGGTGCATTTTATGTTTTAAATCTTTGTCTTGAGAAGAAATGATAATGTTATTTCTTAATCAAAGATAAAGTGTGAAAAAATTCTGAATAAATTCATAGACATGCATTTTTACAATAAACTTTCAAAATTTAACCTTTTCTCCCCATTATAACATTCCAAGACTATTAGAGATTACTTGGTTAACTCTGCCATTAATTTTGATTTCTTATACAAAAGTAGTTACTTTTACCCAAATTGCTGCTTAACAGTATTCTTTGCGGTTTGCCGATGGCAAGGTATATTATAAATATTCCATGCAAAACTAAGCTTTCTGAGATACTCCTTGGGATTATGTTTGGGGCCATTGTCTAATTGGACTTTGCATCCATGTCAGAAATTATCATGGTATCTGACACACAGACACTCAATAAATATTTTTTCAATTGATTCGTTAATTATGTTGTTTAATAGATTTTTAGAGCATGGGTTTAGGAGGATAAAACAATTTGAGTTGAAAAAAGTTCATAAAATAATAGATTTTTTGTGTTGAAAAAGATGTCAAAGGCCATCTAGTTCATCTCCTTCATTTAAAAAACAAGAAACTGAAAGCCAACAAGGGGAAATGACTTGTATAACATTATTGACTAATCATTTAAAAAATCAAAATAGACAACAAAATTTTTAATTAAATGTGTAATTTTTAAGCATACATTCATCATCATACTAATTCCACTCCTATTTAAAGAACTCAAGAAAATAATTAAAAAAAATTTTTTTTGAGGAAGATTAGCCATGAGCTAACTACTGCCAGTCCTCCTCTTTTTTGCTGAAGAAGCCTGGCCCTGAGCTAACATCCGTGCCCATCCTCCTCCACCTAATATGTGGGACGCCTACCACAGCATGGCTTGCCAAGTGGTGTCATGTCCACACCCAGGATCCAAACTGGCGAACCCTGGGCCTCCGAGAAGCAGAACATGCAAACTTAACGCTGTGCCACTAGGCGGGCTCCTTAAACTTTTAATTCATTTGTGGATGACGTAGTTCTCTAATTTCCATTGGTGATTTATAGTAGTAGCACAGCAACCATTTAACCTCAACTGAGTAACACAGTCTAAATTTTTCTTCTATGTTATCACCAAGGTAATGTTTTATAATAAATACACCTCTATATTCACACCGGATGTGAATGATAAAATGTGTTTAATATTATAAAATAGACTCTCAAAACTATAAAAAATTTACATTCTGGCCCTCTGCAGAAAAAGTCTGCTGAACTTGTCCTGAACTTTGAGAAATGTACTTGTGAAATCCTGTGATTTTTTTCTTAGCTTCCAAATAAAGTTTATTTAAATTTGTTTAATTTTCAAGCTGCTAATGTATTCTTGATCCTCTGAAACCAAGTCAGAAGTAGAAAAAGGATGTCCACAATCAAGTGACAAATATTTTAATAATCGGTTAACAATCTATCAGATGTGATCTGATTTTGTAATATCAAGAAAAAAATATGTTAATTTCTTCATAATCCATTCAGTAAATGATTTCTTTTTGAGCACTTAATCTATCCT